ACTTGGTAAGAGTAAAGCCTGTCCAGTTCCTACAAGTAGATCACCTGGCTCCTGGTTCATTCTTCTTGCAAGAGCAGCCCCCTTCAGTCCCTGCCTTTGCCACGTTCCTGTTTTCTCTCCTGCAGCCTCCTCCACYGCTTCTCGTGCTTGGTTGTGGAATGTAGCTCCTGGCTCCAACCCCTGAGCGATAACCAGAGTCAGGGCTTGGAAAAGCTCCATCACTTCAGATGATTTGAGAAAGCCAGATGACGTTTGCACTTGCCAAAGTTTGCTTTCCATGTGTGATATGTGACATTATAATCAAGAAGCTGTGAAGACGCAGCTCTATAAACATACCTGGTGTGTGTGCCCACRATGTTTTGGGAAACACTGAAGATTCCCCTGAAATGCAATGGGCATCTCTGCCTGAATGCTGCTTATGGTGTTCACACCCTTTTTTTAGGGGGGGATAGGAAGGAGGAAACAGAGGGAAAGACTGATGGGACACACAACTGACGGGTCATCTAGGATGTCCAGAATGACAAAGAATTTGGGAGTGCCTAATTAGGCTGAGCAAAAACAACTGGGAAAAAGGACAATAAAATTTCCAAATGTGTTACATGTAGGCTCCCCAAAGGAACAACAGAACAGAAAAAAATACACGTCCTCAAGAAAGCTGATCTGACCGAAACCTTGGAACAACGTGGACCCCTGCGAGCCTTGGTACACAGAGCCACGAGCCACCGTGGCACAGCCTTGGACAGAAGCTGCATTCAGGACTCCAGAATCAGCTGGAATTGTGCCCCATTCAGTAGGAAAACAAACCAGTGCTTGCTTTGCGGAGAAGAAAATACAATCGAGACCTGCACGCTGCTTGCTGGACTCCTTATTTCAGAGAAAGCAAAACTTGGACTAACTGGAAATGGCACAGCCTAATTACAGGCCTATTTTATTCTGTTTACAAGAGAACAGTAACTCCTGTCAAAGCATACAGGTAAATTACCTGCTACTCTGGCTAGCCATAATTGAAATTCAGTTTTAAGATATAGGTGTATGTTTTTGAATTGATGGATATGCCTTCTAATTACTGCTCTTCTTYGACTTCTCTGGTTTTGCTGTTCACTAGACATGGTATCAATAATTATCCTGGCAGTTTAGCAAAAGGAAGGCAGAATCTGATAGACTCAGAGCAATTAACATTTATAATAATTCACCGAGACTGGAAATAACTTTATTTTCTACACTTACATGTCCAACAGGCCTGCTGAAAAGCAATTACAAACTCCACATGCGAATTCTTTTGCATTTACTGAAATTTGTTGATGCTGGAAATGAACAAGCTCCCCATTTACTTCCAATTAAAACAAAGCATGGTATTTTTTAGCATTAGTAACAGCTCTGCGTCTTCTTACCACCTTTTAATGCTCATTCAGCAACAAATAATAGAAGAAGGCTCATAGTAATCCTGAAAAGTCCTGAAAAATACTGCACTAAAAGTCAGCTCTCAGCATAGCAGATCAGGAGCCCTACAAGGCAGTGCTGGGGTTTCAGTGTAGGCCTAAAATTGAAAGCACCTTCTTTAGAATTGGCTAGAAATGGCCTTTACCACCTACAAGCACACCTCGTTGTACTGCTTTCTGCAGACAGGATATTTTTGGCAAATTGAAGGTTTTGTGGCAACCCCAGGTCAAGCCACTACTCTTGGCATCATTTTTCCAACAGCAAGGGCCCGCTTTGTGCCTCCATTTTGATAACTTTCGCACTATTTAAAACTTTTTCATTGTTACTTTCTCTGTTACAGTGATGTGTGATGAGTAGTTTTTGATGCTGCTAACGTAGTTGTCTTGAGGTGCCAATACGGCAATCTTGATGGGTGAATATTGCGTGTTCTGACTGCTCTGCCGACTGCTCGTTCCCCTGCCTCTCACCCTCTCCTCAGGTCTCTTTGTTCCCYGAGACGCAGAGATATTGAAATTAGGCCAATTACGACTCCTACAACGGCCTCAAAGTGCTTAAGCAAAAGTCTCATGACTCTCACTTTAAGTCGGAGGTCAGGAACGATCAAGCTCGGCGAGGAAGGCACATTGACAGCCAGGCCAGGCCGAAAACTAGGCCTCTGATTCCAATCACTTTGCCACAAAGGACAAGAAAGCAGAACAACCTTATTGCTGATAAGGAGATAGTTCCAGTGGTCTGGGTAGAAGATCAAACCAGCCACAACATGCCCTTAAGCCAAAGCATAAGCTAGGGCGAGGCCCTAATTCCCGTAATTCAGTGAAGGCTGCAGAGACTGGTTCATGAGGTTTAAGAAATTAAGCCATCTCCGCAACAGAAAAGCACAAGGTGAAGCAGCAAGTGCTGGTGTAGAAGCTGTAGCTAGTTACCCAAGATCTAGCTAAGTGATGAAGGGGGCTACACTGAACAAGAGCTTTTCTCAACACAGACGCAACAGCCTTATCTTGGAAGAGGATGACATCTACGATGCTCATGGCTGGGGAGAAGTCAATGCCTGGCTTCAAAGGACAGGCTGATTCTGTCGTTAAGGGCTAATGCAGGTGGTGACTTTCAACTGAAGCTAATGCTCATTTCTCCTATTGAAAATCTTAAGGCCCTTATGAGTTATGCTAAATCTACTCTGCTGTGCTCTACAAATGGAACAATGCCAGCAGGACAGCACATCTGTTTACAACATGGTTTACTGACTATTTAAGCCCACTGTTGAGACATAATTTCAWCTTCCAAGGCTTATTATTTAAAAACACATTTTACAAGTCCTTAGCTGCCACAGACAGTGATTCCTCTGATACATCTGGGCAAAGTAAATTGAAATCCTTCTGAAAAATTCACCATTCTAGATGTCTTTAAGACACTGGGAAGAAGTCAAAATATCAACATTAACCGAGTTTGGTAGTTGATTCCAACCCTTATGGGTGACTTTGAGGGGTTGAAGTCCTACATGAAGTAAGTAACTGCAGGTGTRGTGCAAACAGCAAGAAAATTGTAATTCTAGAATTAAAAGTGCTACGTGAAGATGTGAATTGCTGCACTGTTATGATTAAACTTTAACAGATGAGAAGTTTCTTTGTATGGATGAACAAAGAAAGTTCCTTTCTTGAGATGGGATCTGCTCCTAGCAAAGATGCTGTCAATACTGTTGAAATGACAACAAAGAATTTAGAATATTGAATAAAAGTGAGAAAGCAACGGCAGTGTTTGAGAGAACTGACTCCAATTTTGAAGGAAGTTGTGCTGTGGGTAGAAAGTTATCAAAGAACACATGCTACAAAGAAATCCTTCATGAAAGGAAGAATCAATCAATGAGAGAAACTTCATGGTTGTCTTAATTTAAGAAACTGTCACAGCCACCCCAACATTCATCAGCCACCACTCTGACAATTTAGCATCAACATTGAAGCAAGACCCTCCATTCACAAGAAGATTACACCTTGCTGAGGGCACAGATGATGGTTAACATTTCTTTTAGCAATGAAATATTTTTAATTAAGGTATGTATATCACTCTTTTTAGACAATATGTTATTGCACACTTAATAGARTTCAGCACAGTGTACAAAAAAACTTTATACTGGGAAATAAAAAAAATGTGTGTGATTCACTTTATTGCCATAAACACTTTATTGTGGTGTTCTGGAATCAAACCCRCAATAGCTCCCAGGTATGCCTGTAGTTGTCACATTGGCAACTTCAAGCTGTACTCAATTTTCAGTTTTATAAATATCTAACCTTAATTGTAGGCTTGAAAGTTCCCTAAGAAAAGAAACAGAACAAAAGAAAAAATCTAATAAGTATGTGGAAGGTGTATCAGTAGCAAATGGTAGACAGAGAGAATGGAACTCTTCAGAACTCTCCATACTAGCCAGCTAGTCYGCTCCCTTGGAAGTTAACAAGTATTTATCTATTAATTTCAACAGCCTCAGGAACACAGCATCATGCAACCATCTTCATAATCTTCAAGATTTTGAGTCACAGTGGAATTCTTCTGTGTCCTTTACCAAATTTTGCATCACATTAGGAGGTTCTCTCATGTGTTCTTTAGGTTATATAGGTGAACACTGCCTTTCAACACACTGCAAAGGCAGAAAATGTTATGTTTTTTGACCATCCATTGAGTGGAGAGAGTATTTCTTCTCTTTCCTCCTTACCTCCAGTAGGAACTCTAGGTAAAAATATTCATAAATAATATCTGGTGGTTCTCCTGTGGTCACAGACTTACATAAAGCATGGACAAACTAGATGTTACAGCATACAGAAATTTCAGGGTTCCAAATAACTGATCAACACACAACAGATATAACGCTGACAAAAATAATCAATTTTGTTGCAGAGGTACAGATTAACAGTAGATTATGAAACAAACCCCAATTAACACAGACTAACTTTTTTTCAAAATTACTGTTGAACCTGTGCTCAATACCAATATTACAACGGCCAAACTGATATGAAGAAAAAGTTAAATCTGCAATGCACTGGGATTGTTATATTGTTATCACATATAACAGAAATATACAACAGTATATTTCCCCAAATTCCTAAAACTTGTATGGTTTGATACTGACACAAAATCTACTAATGATGAACTTCAAATATCAGATAAAGAGCTTTGATAAAGCATGATGACTTTCTGCGTTTCCAACAGAAACACTTAGTTTATTACTATTAAAGATGTTAACCTGTGAGTGCTGCAACACAAATGAATTAAGTTACAATAAACCTCTATGATATGCAAGTTTCCCCATACAATGCTGCAGGTGAAAAATGCRACATAGAACAGCACTCTTACCTCATGTTATTTTGGAACACAGTTCTGGAATGTGCACTAGAGAGCTACAAGATAAACCTCCCTAAACCTATTTCACATTAATGATGTGCATTAATATATCCATTGTTTTCAGACAAAGGATAAGGCTTGTATAAAAAAAAAAAAAAAAAAAAAAAAAAAGGAAAAAAAGGGGAAAAAAAAAGTCTGTGCCACTTGGCTGTACATCTTTGGCAAATGAATAGTGCAACTGTTCTGTTTCATCTCTAAAGGGGGAAGTTTTCCAAAGCATTGCCTCCCTGACCACTAAGAATGTACTGTGAATTCCACCTTTCACTAGGATCTAACCTGATACTTCAAATAAATGAAAAATGTACAGTGAAAAGTATTGTTTCTTCCTATTTTTAAATATACTATTAAAGTAGAATTAAACAATGCCAAATTCCATATTAGAAAGTAACTGCATATTTGAATTCTCTTGMAATAGTTCAGAACCATACAAATTGGAGCATTGATTTCATGGCAGTTTTTAATAATTGACATCCAAGGTRCTACCTGAAAACATCTGTAATTTAGGTATTGTTAGCCTAGCTGTAGGTAACCTTTGTCTCTATAAAAAAAGACACTTGTTCTTCACTTTGCTTAGATGCTTAGAATTATTCAAAATTGAAAGAAAGGCTAGAACTACTTAATTAAAATATATTGCAAGCATGTTTATCTAAGTTTATATTGCTAACACCTTATTGTATTGTCAGAACTTTTAATGGAGTTTGTCTTTAAATAAAGAACCATGTATTCAAACAGCCTAGATATATATCTGTATTTTATACTGCTATTTTAACAGGCGTACTAACACACAACTATATTACATATCATCCAGTGGCAGTGCAATGAACTGTGGTGCCATTCAGGYGCCATTTAATGACTTTTTCAGCTTCTAAACAGCAACATTCTTTCTGAACAGGTCTGTCCGACCAAACTTGCATATTGCTGAACACTGGCTTCATCACTTGGCCCCTTCCTTCTTCTCTTATACACGCTGTAAGGCATTACGGTTCGCTTGTGAAGTACTTTAACTCTGCCCAGCTCCTTAACACAACCTTCATCAACTGCAAAAAGAATCAGAAAACACAAAAATTAGTTAAATATATTGTTATTGTGATCTTTATGTTTGTGTAGTTAATTTCAATACATATACTGAAAACTACATGAAGTAATAAAGCAAATCTACAGATGAATACTGGGATAAAGCATAGGTGAAACACAGGTTATTTTTCTGCCACATGTCTGAGGCAATTATCATAGGATAAATGGATAAAGTTATTACAAAATTCCTGTAAAAAGTTTTGGCCTTTTCTGAATTTCAGATTTCAATAGCCATGAATGCAAGTTAGCTTAAAAGCAGAAGCTGAAATACGACTTTGAAAGTTGAAGTAGATACATTTGAATTATGAGAGAGCAGATATGCTTACTAAAATGTCATGCTGGGATGTAAGCTCAAAGGTTTTTTTGGCACAAGGAGACTACTCTGACTGGAAAGACAGTATGGGTAAGAATCAATATTCAGCTTTGTGCTCTTTATCAATCTCTACGCTAAATTTATGTTCAAACACATCCTGTCCCAATTAAACAACTGCAATGAAGTCTTCTGCTGATTGATCAGCTGACTCAAATTTTAAAAAAGGCCATGRAAAACCAAGTATTCTTAGTAGCTACGTCATGAGCAAAATCAGTAGATATAGTGCCTTTCCAATAAGCTTTGCTAATGGACTGCATTTAGTATGTGAAAACTACYGCAACCTGTTTTACAAAGTCAAAAATGACTTCATGACTTTTATCTGTGTTTTGACTCCTAACTTGAAAGGACAATGTACTGCTTAAAACTTAAGAATAAAAAAGTGATCTGAAGCAAGAAACACTGAATAGTACATGCAAAGATCGCATTCTCTGCTAATTATTGCTGGCACTTGCTTTATATAGAGACCAAAGTAAAAAACACTTTTTTTTGGCTTTCTCYAACTCTTTGAAGTGCATTTAGTTTTTGATGTGGGGCCAATACCCTTCTGATGGGTTGTTTTTCTACCCATTCTACTTAATCTTCTATTCCATTCTCCTTTCTGAAAGTTCACTGAGGAAAAAAAAAAGCAAGTTTAGCTTGACACAGTGACACAACTTCAAAGTTATTTTAGATCCGTAAATGGAAAAGTTTATATTTACTGCACATCTAGGCTATTAGTTTGTGTCCTGAAGTGGATTTATGCCAAGTGTAGCCTTCATAAAAAATCCTAAAATCTCATCCTGAAAGCACTTCCAAAGCTGTTCACTACTAACAGTTGACATCCATTGCTCTTCAAAAACACCAAAGCCTGATACACTGAATGAGTTCATCTTTTGGCTTGCAGTACTCCTGGCCCCAAATTCAATTTCTTATAGTAACTAAAGCTACTGTACCTTCGATTTCCCTATAGCCTAAGTGGCTCGGATGAACTTTGCTCTTGTTCAGCATATGTTTTTATAGGCTTAGTCCACTTCTCATCACATCAAGCACAGTTGGTACATTATCCTCTCTGGACTCAGAATCACACTAGCTCTACCTCTATAGTTATATTAGACATAGTTATTACTACCAGGGTTCTAACAAACTTGTTAACTGCTGCTGCCAAGTATTTTCTGGGGGAGAAGAGTGGCTTGCCAAACCCTGCTGTAGACCAATCCTTACTTGGACTCCAGCTGAGTTTTCTTACAGCTCTTAGGCAGGTGAACGCTCTCCCAGAGCAATTGAGAAAATCTAATAGTCCCAAATATCTTGAAAATCACTATGAATACCTCAGACATGCTTTAAGCTAAACGTAGACAGTGAGATATATGCATAAAGTATACACTTAYAGACTTGGTAATAGGTAAAGGAAAAGTTTAAAGCCAACTATGCTTGGTCTTAGGAACTTATGTCTGATTGGTTGTATTTACACTTGTTCTACACATTAAGGTTGAATCCAAGTCAGTAAGATTTGAGAGGCACAGAAATAATGGCCCTCACGACTTCCACCGCTCCTTCACAAAGATTAACTGTTCTAGTGAACAGTGTTCATCAACTCCCCCCAAACTAAAAACTTACACGACCAAAATAACCTTCTGTGAAAGTACTTAGAATATATATATAATTTAACCTCCATCTGAAAAAGAATCCTCTTACCACAATGTAAAGTCTTCACTAAACTAATCTCAGGTCCATAGTTGAGCTTTTAGAGAGACTGAAAAGGAAGTTCTGTCACCACAATATCAAATCCGTACCTTAAAATCTAGTCAGCTTTCAATTGCTACCGTTTTGGTGCCAGCAGCCCCTGAGTGCTGGAAAATATTTTCTTCAGCCATTTAAGCCCCTAAGTAAAACGCACCGAGGAGAACTGAATGGAAAATAAAAGAAGACTGGGCGCCGGTATTGTTTAAAGAAGAAATGACCCAACAAATAGGAAAGCAAAACTCTGTTGCGGGTAAGTGATACATGAAAAAGACTGATTTATATATAAGCAGGCAGTAACTGATCCTAAACCCCCTTTTCTCTTTGACTGAAGCTGGAATGGAGAAGAAATCTCAGTTTAGAATAATATCATGTAGTGTTACATTAACTTTACTCATTATTCTAACTGCAGAACATGACATTGTTAGCCCTGAAAACTTGAAAAGGTTTTTTTCCCCTCCTTTTCTGGCATTTTCTTTTTTTGTAATTCCTGAGCCTCCCATCGATCTCTGCTTCTCCTCATGAGTAGTCCAAACATTCATCTGTATAAACCTCAAAGTATATAAAACTATAGGTTTGATTTCTGAGGGGCTCTTGCATTTACTTAATTCTTGGATCATCGGGATTCGAGCCATAATTYATAGCTAGTTTGTTCTTTAAGGTTTGCTTCCTCACATACCTCCTCACTCCAGTTTAGCATAATTCTAGAACTTCTCCAAGTTTCAGAAGACTCTGCCACACCACCCAATTTCTAAGTGCCTTCTTAAGAAATCGGCACTCTCCCCTAAGTTCAGATGTCATCAATATTGTTTGCATGAGATACTTTATATATATATAAAGGAGGTAAAGTTAGGTAGTCCAAAACATCAGRAAAAGCAGATATCTAGGGCCGAGTACATGAGATTTAGGCACCATAGAGCACAACATAAAACACTGGCTATCCATACTGTATTATATTTAAATGTCTAAATATAAACTACATTTAAATATAATTTTATTTAATTATATTAGAAGACGCCAAAACAGTCTTAAGCTTCTACTTCAATGTTTGAAAACTCTATTAGTTTTATCTAGTGCTTTCTTTTCACACTTTTCACATCAATGCAAATCAGTTTACATTGGAGTACAACATCAATCAACTTAAATCTGTAGTCTCAAAATTAAAAACACATCTGAACCTCTTTTGATGGAATTGTGACTTTTTTATCTATTCCCTTATAACTTTGGAGCAGTAAGTTGTTTACATAGCTTTATATATGTACATATATATACACACACACAAAAATTTGAATACAGAATTCATGTGTAATTCAACCCTGCCACTGTGATGTCATGGAAAATGAAAAAAATAAAAAAGACAACAGCACATACACTGTTTAAAGAAAATCACATAGGATATCACTTATAGTGAAATCTGATGCAGTTTTGGTCCTTTCATATCAGAAGGGGATAATTGGGATTGTAAAGTGTCCTTTTTCATGTCCTAGTATGCTTGAGGAGCTAAATTTTATCTTCCCAGTACGCTCACCCCTGAAATAATTATCACATTCCTTGTAAAGCCCTTTATTCACACAGACCTTTGTTTTTAACGTACCTTTTCACCATAACAGAAATGAATGCACGCAAAAACAAAAAACATCAACATTATTTAACTACKTAATAACCAAGAAAGTCCAAGTGTGAGTGTCCAAGTCTTCTCATGTGACACTTCCAACAGCTGGAGAGCAATTACTATTTTTTTAAATCTCACATCAGTATTAAACACAACTCACAGGTGCATTGTGCACACCTTACATCTGCCTTCAGTGAACACGAAAAGGGCYGAGATGCTGGGGGAGGCTACAATCCTTGGCAGCACAGGAGCTCACGCAGAGAGCAGAGACCAAAGATCAACAGTGCTTATTTAAATGTGAAATAAATTGAGGGTTTCTTTCTRGAAAAAATGAAGTATATCAGATATTTTTTCTCTAAGTACCAAGGGGAAGAGGGGGGGRAAAAAAAAAGAGGTAGTAATTTTGGACTTAAAACCCTCCACATAATGTTTTATCTTGGCAGATATTAGCTACCAGTTACGTTTTTGGGCCTGGCTATGGACCTCCCGCTCTTACGCTCATCAAACCCATGGGGCAAGGCTGCTGAGCAGCAGCGAGCAATAAGCTACCAGTAACACCAGCCTTCAAAGGCTCATCCACAACCAGCCCCACAAATACTTTTATACTCAAGAGACCAGAAAGAATTTGAAGAATGGAAAGTCTCCATTCTTACAAAACACTTTTTTTTTATTATTATTTTCTTTTGCACATTCAAAACCACCTACCCTAAAAAACACAAACTTGAAAAACCTGAGAGCAAAATAGGTTTCCAAAATGCTGATAGGCATTCCTGTGGAAATACCAAAATAAAATAAGGATGAATAAATTATTTTACCGTTTTTAATCTCTGCAAAAGCAAAATGCTCTTTGAGAGTTCAGGGGTTAATGTTCCGATTATTTTCCTTACAATGTAGTATTTTATCAGCATTTTTAATAAAATTATTTTGCAAAGCGGAAAGCAAAATATTTTTAGTCTAAGTACATTAATCTTTAGTTTTACTGCCTAATAAATGCCAAGYGAAAAACAGCTACATCTGATCATCAATCCCGCATTTCTCTTTAGCAAGCACATGTAAAACTGCAAATCAAGAGAATGGAGGGCGAGCTCTACAATGGACTGCTGCAATTCTAAGCAGGCTTGAAGCCAACATCACAATGAAAAATGCTACGGATCAAAGCTTTTTGTAGCAAACTATTACTAAATCAGCCTTTCATTGGTGGCTGATTTGCTTCAAGCTGCTTTTGATCAATATTGATTAAAAAAGACAGTCGTAATTCA